ACTGAGAAGGGCCTGTGTTCAGTGTTCAAACGTAACCAAACACAGAGCTAAGACAGTGCAACATTCAGCTTTTATTCCTTTCGCCACATGTACTGTCCTCTTTCTCATCAAGCATTTTCTTACAGTTGAGGGCTCTGAGTTCCGAGAGGTTATCCTATACATATACTATCGTAGTATAATGTCATCTGTCATGGACAGTTAGAGGTTCCCTGAAATTTGACCCTAAATGCTGACCCTAAATTTCTTTGGTGGCATTCACTCACCCCTAACGCCCAACTATTATTGCAAGCTAATAATAGGGAGGGGAGACTGTACCATTTTTAATTATGTCTGTGGAAAGGTATTTTATAATCTCTGTGTGGCTTGAAGTATAGAACCTTAAATCTGTGAAATGTTGCTTTCCCCCTCAGGAAATCCCTTAAAGCAAGTCGCTGTATTGCACACCCTTGTATGGAGAATCCCTGCAATCAGCCTGTTGCAGAGCTCTTTCCAGCCCAGAAATATGCCTGTGTTTTCCAGGCAAGGTTTTCCCCTTTCCGGGATCATCCAGGACTGCTATGCAGAACTGGGCACCAGTTGCTCTGACTTCCCCATCAGGTGGAAGGGCTTTGCGTAGCTGTTTTTACTGAGTACATTTGGCAGTGGATTTGGGAATTATTTTATTTTTCCCTCCCGGATTGTTTTTCTGAAGCTGACTTTGGGAATGGAAGTAGAGATGCTAAATTTAAAGACCCGATGCTTCCTGAAAATCATTTTCTTCCCCCAGAAGTAATTGAAGGTGACGTGAATGAGGAATTCTCCAAAGAGTCATTAGTATCCAGGAACTAGCCTGCACTTCCCACTCCAGATTTAGCAAAAGAGTTTAGAGCCTATTGGACTCAGAGACACAGACAGACACAGTAGAAGCAGCTAATGGGAGTGGAGTGAATGCTGTGAATGAGTCCCTTTGAATTCTGTAATGAATTGGCTTCCTCAGTGTTTGAGTTCCCGTTGTATTTGCTTTCTGCAAATATGAGTCTCCTGGCAGGAATGATCCTCACAAGAGCAGTGAACATGACGCAGATACTGCAGACTACTGCCGGAAAGCAAAGCCTGAGCTTGTTATCTACATCCCTAGGAGCCGTGCCGGAGTGAGAGCACCTGGTTTCATATCCGAACCAGCCAAAACCACAAGTTCAGCCAGGTTTGAGGTGAAACCATTAATCAGCCCAAACTTGCTCCAAACTGGACCCAGGCTCTCTCCCTTTCTTTAGAGTCTCCTGCACCTCAGTAACCTATTTGAATCTGTAAAATGAAACCTGGCCCTAGCTGAATTTTATGTGGTTTTGGGGTTTCATAATGAAAGTTTCGCTCAGTTTTAGTTGTGACTTCAGACTCAAGCAGCAATGAACATAAAGGGCTCATGGCAGCACCACACCAATGTCTCTCTGCATCCTCCTTTTCCTGAACTATTGTTCAGTATCTTTGGGTTTTTATGTCACCCTCTTCCTACTGCAGCCAAATGGGGCAAGGCCTTATACAGTCTTTATCCCTGGCTGTGGTTTTGATCCTTGGGACTGTTAGCAGCACGCATACATTAGAGAAGCCCTTGGACTGCTCTAAATTATTGCATGGAAAGCGAAGCTGCACACAGTGGCTCCAGGATTGGAGAATACAATGTATGTTTTATGCCACCTTTGTACACACACCCCAACCTGTGCTGCATACAGTTCGACTAGACCCCAGGAACTGGCCCTAATCAGGAGTAACTCCATTGGAATCAATGAGTGTAAAACCGGTGTAAGAGGATAATCTGCCCGGTGAGTGCAAAGTGGGCATGAAATGCTATCACTGGTGTCAGTGAGTGGGGAATACTGATGTATGTATTTTATCTACACTTTGCACAGGTGTAACTGATGGCACAAGTTGCAGTGTGTAGAATCGGACTCCAGTTTGCAGCTGGCAGAGCCCGGTGTACATAGCACAGAATCACAAGGGGCTGTAAAGCAGCAGCAGTGTCTAGCATGGAATGGCTAAGGTCCAGGAGAGAGAGAGAGAGAGAGAGAGGTGCTGCAAAAGAAGACCCCCATGGCAGCCAGTCTCAGAGCCCAGATCAACTGACCTAGTCTAGATGTTTGGACTCGGGCTGGAACCAAGCTCAGAAACCCGGCGAGGGGGTGGATCTGCCTTTCCACAGCTGCCCTGCTCCCTTCCAGTAAACAAAGGGTCACATTTGATACTTTCTGCTCCTGCAGCTTTCACTGGAGCTAAAAGGAAACTCCAGCTGGGCAAGCACCGAGTGAGAGCTCTGTAACGTTAGACTAAAGCGCTTCATGTGTTACTTTCAGAACTGATCTCGCTCTGAAGTGGCCGTGAGAGAGCAGGGTGCAGCAGTGCAGTGTGTGTGTGTGTGTGTGTGTGTGTGTGTGAATTCTGATCTGCTCCAAGGGACACCTGTCGTAGTGTGGCGAGCCAGAACGGACACACATGCTCCTGCATGTTCCCCCAGGGCTGCGGACTCAGCCTCACCATGCAGGAAGGCTCGGGACCGATCACCTGTGACGGTATTTGTATGAATTCATTCTTCACATTGGTAGCAAGCCAGGGTTTTGATTTCTGAAATGTGATTAGTGCTTTTGGACTGGAGCAGTGATTGACAGGGAGGAAGCGGGGTTGCGGGGCGGGGGGAAGGGTGTCTTTCACACTCTGGTCCCAATTAAATTTCCCTTGCAAATGTAGCCGCTTGTGCTGATAATCAAGATAAATGGAATGTACTTAGCCGACTGGATTTGTGTAAATACACCAATGTCCAAGACTTGAGCTGGACTATATATAACTCTCCTAAAACATGTGTGCGCATTTCACTGGCAGTGCATGACCCAACTTTGGGACTTCGACCCATTGGTTAATAGAGGGGGTTTTAGGAGAGAGAATATTTTCCTGGTTTTGTCATTATTTTCGTTAGGTTTTTGGCACTTGACTGTTCCAGGCATCCTCCAGGATGTGTAGTTTTTGACTCGTAATTTGACACTCAATGCTGGGAAAACTCTTCTCATCACATGTCTGTTTCACAGACTAGACAGTGGCCGGTGAAAGAAAGGCAATTGCTTGAGTTAGCGAGTTGAAGGGTGAGACTGTGAAGGCCACACTCTGGAAGAAATCCCCAAATTCACAGCTGTAATACCTACAGCGATACCAGGGACTTTGGGGGAGTAATGACTGCAGTGCTGCAACTTTGCAGCAGCTCTGAGGATGACATTCTTGCTAGATAGAAGCCAGTGGGAGTTTTGCCACTGACTTCTAAAGGGGCGGTTCTGTTCAATATCTTCATCAATGAGTTAGATAATGGTATGGAGAGTACACATAAAGTTTGCAGACGAGACCAAGCTGGGAGGGGTTGCAAGTGCTTTGGAGGATAGGATTAAAATTCAAAATGATCTGGACAAACTGGAGAAATGGTCTGAAGTAAATAGGGTGAAATCCAATATGGACAAATGCAAAGTACTCCACTTAGGAAGGAACAATCAGTTGCACACATACAAAATGGGAAATGACTGCCTAGGAAGGAGTACTGTGGAAAGGGATCTGGGGTTCATAGTGGATCACAAGCTAAATATGAGTCAACAGTGTAACGCTGTTGCAAAAAAAGTAAATATCATTTTGGGATGTATCAGCAGGCGTTTTGTAAGCAAGACACGAAAAGTAATTCTTCCGCTGGTGTTTAATATTCTGTGTGAAGATTTCTCTAAAGTCAGTGTGTGCTTGCCAAGACATCATGGCACAAACATACTTCTCAGCCTGCTCCTTATGCCTGGGTAGCCCCTATTAGATTTTCAGGCTCTTCTCTGTAAATGCATTTAGAAGCAATCCAAAGGGAACGTGCCTTTTACCTACTCGTATAAATGGGAAAAGCTGATAACAGGCTCTTGTGCCTTTTCACTGAACATTGCGGCTCTGTATCGCTCACTCTCACTACGATGCAGCTTGAACAACAGAGAGGAAGGCACCTACTCATCACCCTGAGCCGGCAAGCTGCCTCTACAGAGAGAGCATAATTTCTTTACACAGAGGAGACCCATCCAAAACCCTAGAGCCAAACTTGAAGGAAGCTCAGCTCCAGGTCCAGAGGTGTCTTGGTCTGCCCTTTGTTTAGTGCACTACTTTTAGAATCATAGAAATGTAGGACAGGACCTCGAGAGTCACCTAGTCCAGCCCTCTGTACTGACCAAAGAAACCTAGACCATCCCTGACAGATGTTTGTCCAACCTGTTCTTAAAAACCTCCAATGATGGGGATTCCACAACCTCCCTTAGAAGACTTGTCTGATACCAGCAAACACACACTGTGATTGTTTTGACATTCATGTAACATAGTGGTAGTGGTGGGGGGCTCAATCCTGCAAAGGGCTGAGTGCCTCCTGCAGGGTGCTGTGTGTCTGCAAAGCTCCAATGTGAGAGGAATAAATTCCACAACTCCCAGGGGAACATTCTGCCACACATCAATAGGTGACAGGTTTCAGAGAGGTAGCTGTGTTAGTCTGTATCAGCAAACACAACAAGGAGTCCTTGTGGCGCCTTAGAGACTAACAAATTTATTTGGGCATGAGCTTTCAGATGCATGGAGTGAAAAATACAGTAAGCAGTGTGTATATATATATACAGCACATGAAAAGATGGGAGTTGTCTTACCAAGTGGGGGGTTAGTGCTAACGAGCCCAATTCAATTAAAGTGGAAGTGGCCTATTCTCAACAGCTGACAAGAAGGGGTGAATATCAAGAGAGAGAAAGGTTTCAGAAATGGCCAACGTCCACCTTGATTGCATTGGCCTTGTTAGCACTACAAAAGTAATTTTCCCTCTCTTGTATCAGAGGGGTAGCCGTGTTAGTCTGGATCTGTAAAAAGCAACAGAGAGTCCTGTGGCACCTTTAAGAGTAACAGATGTGTTGGAGCATAAGCTTTTGTGGGTGAATGCCCACTTCCTCAGAAGCATGCGTCTGACGAAGGGGGTATTCACCCACGAAAGCTTATGCTCCAACACATCTGTTAGTCTTAAAGGTGCCACAGGACTCTCTGTTGCTTTCCCTCTCTTGATATTCACCCCTTCTTGTCAACTGTTGAGAATAGGCCACTTCCACCTTAATTGAATTGGCCTCATTAGCACTACAAAAGTAATTTTCCCTCTCTTGAAATTTGTTAGTCTCTAAGATGCCACATCAATAGGTGTGGCTGGTTAGGAGTGAGAGGCGCCCTGACACACAGACGAGCTGGTAAGGGCTGGTCATCTTCAGTTCCAGGCAATAGCCAACTGATGGGGATCAGGATTCTGTTGACTCATATCCAGCTTCTCGTCCACTGTAATCCCCAGGTCCTTTTCTGCAGAACTGCCGCTTAGCCAGTCAGTCCCCAGCCTGAAGCAGTGCATGGGATTCTTCCGTCCTAAGTGCAGGACTCTGCACTTGTCCTTGTTGAACCTCATCAGATTTCTTTTGGCGCTGTGGGGGAGGGAAGAGGAGCGAGGGTGCAGTGTGCTCGGGGGAGGGGCAGAACTGGGCGGGGAAGAGGTGGGGTGGGAGCGGGAAGAGGTGGGGCAGGGTGGGAAGAGGCTGGGCAGGGGTGGGGCTTTGGGGGAAGAGGTGGAGTGGGGGCAGGGCCTGGGCGGAGTCAGGGGGGAGCACCCCCCAGCAGATTAGAAACTCGGCGCCTATGTCCTGGGCCTTACTCTCCCCCCAGGGACGGCCCTGTCAACACTATTACTTTTAGCAGTCAAACTTGTAATCTCCTCAAAAAAAGATAGTTTGACAGGATGTTTTCCATAAACCCATGCTGATCTGCATTAATTGCATTGCCTTCTGAGCTGCCAAACGGACCCATAAATATGCCTGCAATTGCTGGGAAAGTTGGCTTTCAGTTTTCTAAAATAGAGGGGGTTTTTTATCAGTGAAAATCCAGCATATTTACTGAAAATTGAAGAAAAAACTTTTTTTTTCACCAAAGTTTCCTGCCATGCCCCCCCAATCCCTGCCCCTCAAGAAAACCTGGCGCTTTTTCAAGCAGTTCTCGACTGGACTTGCCCCTGGAGGCTCTTTTCAAGGGACGCTGCACCTGCCCAGCTGATGAGTCACAGAAGGTTGCCCTCCTGGCAGAAAAGGGAAACTCCAGTGTAATGGAGAAGAAAATCTAATCCCCATTCATATCACAAAGGAGAATCACCCAGTTAAAAATAATTAGCTACAACATTTAAAAATTCGGCTCCCATCTGATTGCTAAAAGAGGATTTACTAACTGAACTGGGGTATGAGTGACAGGCAAGGTGCTTGGGGCAAGGCTCTCACTGGTGGGAGAGATGGGAATGAGACTGTCCTGTTATTTGGGGGCGCCACCTCTGCCTCTGCTGTTGTGTGTCACATTTTCCCCGTCGACTCAGCAGTCATTTCCCCATAAGTCATGTGCTCTCACGGGGGTCTGTGAGCCCTTCCTGCTCTCGGACGGAAGGCTTGTGGTCACGGTGAGCAGTGAGTTTAGAGCTCACAGACAGAAAACCCAGAAGCAAAACCCTTTCAGGCTCTGCAACGCTTTTCACTTGGCTGCCGATGCAAAGGCTAGAGGGAACTTCAGCATAGCCCGTTCCTCCTATGCTTGATCTCTGGACTAACATGGACCGTGGCCTGCACACCATGCATTGCTGAGGTCTGCCCCAGCCACCGACTCCTGCTCCTCTTCATTTTCCCTGCGATGCACATGCTGGGGTAGCTCTGTGCTCTGGGGAGAGCTTTGCACCTACAAGCCAGAAGAATCCAAGGGCAGGTAAGGGCAGTCTGACATGGAGGGGATGGGACAGAGGGGAGATTTTACCCCCAAAATGTGGGGCACTGGTTGCATTTGGCAGAATGTGGGAGCTCCTATAAATTGACTGGCCCCTAGAGAGTGCAGCAGCCCCTAGGGACAACTTGGATTCACCTCCAGAATTATTGGGACCCCCCCCCCAAGCATCCCCATGCATAAGTGCCTTGGTGCGAAGGAGGAATACATGGGCCCTGCTGGATTCCCCTGCTCTCTTGTTGGCTTGTGATCATGCAGTGACTGTCTGTCAGCAACTCTGCCTCCCTGTTTGGTGTATTACCCTGTAGTAAACTCTTCTGCTGCTTCTCTTCGGGCTCTGGAGAATGAGCAG